ACGACGTACCGAAACCGGGTAGCCCTCGATATGGAGCATCGAAGTCGGCAATGAATTGGCCGTGAGGACCTTTCCGACGATTTGCCCGTCGCCGATTTAACGAGCCCATTAATTCATGCATTAACCAGGATCTCTCCGAATGGCGAATCGGGGTGCAGGGTGCGGCGCCGAGCAGAATTTCCGTCCACTTTGGGCCGCTCCTCCATGCTCCTGCAGGAAGTCAAAGCAAATACGATCCGAGGAGAACACGGTTTCCGCAGGTCGAGGGCCGAAGGCCGAACTTGGCCGGTTTGAAGGGCTGAAATATAAATCGAGGCGGCGGGGGTAGTTCTGCCGGTGAAGTTCCGCCCGGGCGAGTAATTCACCCTGAAGAGGTCCTCGGCTCGCCGAGGTCGCGCGAATCGTATAATACACGCAGACCACGCGGGAAATTCCGTGGCGGCCATAGATCAGGGTCTTTGCGGAGGGAGCGGTGGGTTCGGCATATCGTTACTTGGCCGGGGGGCGCCACAGTCGAGTGCGCCTGCATTTAACGACCGGCCCGCCCGATGGCGGCGCCACCGGCGACAAAAACCCAGCGGGACGCGCAAAGAGTGCTTTCGACGTCTCAATTGACTCCGTAACGGCTGATTTACGGGCCGATCCGCCAGGCACGCGGCATCGCTTCTTTTTTACTCTCCTGTCCGACTGATTTTCGACCCGGCCCGCTCCTACATTCACGTGAGAAAATCCAAGGCGAGCGTTAAAATCCAACCGGATCTCTGGATGCACTCGGTGGCGCCACCTGCGTCCGCAATTACTCGACCAAGCGGCCCGGAAGGAGGTAAAAGGAAGCCGAGGTTGGGCCACAAAAGGAGGAATTCCAGGTCGGAGAGGCGAACGAGTCTCAGAAATCGGGGATATATATCTTTTCGCCCCGATAAATAAGCCTCTAAATGCAGGAATTCTATCGATCGCGGCGCAATCGCCGGTCAGGACGGAGCCCTCGGGATGGGGCGGCAGCGGAAGAGGTCGCCTGCTCCACCGGAAAGGCGGAGGCGCTGCGGTGCGGAGAACCGATCGACGGGAGGAAAGTACGCTGATTGTGAATCGAGCTGATTGCCCGAGTGCCGGTGGCGTTCAAACATCATCCACAAAGGCGGTAATGCCGGAGCACCGGCCTCCGCTCCCAAACTACCCCGTGCACCGCCCTAAAACGATTATCCACTCGCGAGCCAAAGTCGGGAGGGTAGTCGCACGGGGATGACGCTCGTAACGACGTATTGTGGGGCGAAAGCGGCGCTGGAACCCCGTAGGGATGTTCCGCCACTCGTCGAAATCCGAGAGGAGGATCCTCCCACCTAGATCCTGAAGAGTCGATACTCGAAGGAGTCGTCGATTGTCTTTGACGCGACGTCGGAGGTGCGACCCTCTTCCTCGTGGCGCTCGATTTGCATGGTGGATGCACGAGAGGGCGATTAACGTTTCTTTGTCTCCGTGATCCGTGATCCGGAAGATCAGGAGGGGACCCTGATGACGGCCACTCGTTGGAATCTTTCGGGGAGGTCCATGCAGCTTCATGGATTTCGATGGTTGATACTCCCTAGAGGACCTTGCGATAATAGGTTAGGTTCTCCCCATAGAAGACGTCGCGACAGTCGGTGCTCCCCATAGAAGACCTCGATCGAAGCTCTCAGGAGCCGTACCAAAAAGAAATGATTAAAGATACGACTCGGCAGCCTCGAAACTTTAATTTCCTGGCCGATAGAGCATCTACGGTTCCATTCTCCTCTCCAAGGATGCAGTTTCGCAGCCAATTTCAGGGTGAGCCCTTTTTCCGCCGAGTCACGGATGGCGCTGGAAAATTTCATTGTTATTGTTGACACCAAGTAGAGAGGTTTCCATTCTTTCCTGAATTCCAGCTGCGAGTGGGAGGTAACTTCTGGGTCATACCGAAGTTCGCTCCGGAACGGCATACTTAGGCAACGGCGCACGGTAATGGCGCGCAAGTGCGATTAACGTTTCTTTGTCTCTGCATTTTGTGGCCGGAATAAACGTAACCGGGCGGCGTTACTCGGCGCATTTCAATGAGCATAAAGTAGGAACTATTAAAAATATAAATCCTTAGCTGCGACTTTAATCCCCTGGGTGATGGGCTAACGCCTCCACCCTTTGGGATGAGTTTGAATCGCGTCCTTGCGACCGATTTCTCCGACCCTTTGCCTCCTAACGAAGATAGAAACGGGAAAATGGCATCTTCTACCGCTTGTCTCGGTTTTATGGAAACATCGCGAACTGAGGAAATAAGGGAGGTTTTCCCTACCCCGAGGGAAACGACGCAACTTTTCCTAGACGCCGAGCTCGTCGACCGAGTCGCGATTCTTCGCTCTAATTCACGACAAGGAATACCATCGGCGATCGCGGTCGAGATCGCTGGAGAGTAACGATCGAACTTGGCGAACTCGAAGTTTTCTCCTCGGAACGAAACGGGGCTTCGAAATCGATACTCCTCTCCTGTCTCGGGTTCGCGAACCCGAGGAGCGTGAACCTGGGTGAACCCTTTCGGGGAAATAATCGAGCCGAGGACGACGAACGCAAGGAAGGATTTTTTACGGCCCATCGGAGGTTTGGTCATCTCGGAATTGAATTCCAGTATCGATGAGGGTGGAGGAGGAAATTCGATTCGCGAGTTGCCGGAAGAGGGATCGAACCGAACGGTTGCGTGAGACCGGCTAAGAGGGACGTGAATTAATAATCCGCGTGGCGCGTTTCCAGGACGAACGATCCCCGAAGAGATGGACGAGCGGAATGCCCGACTCCGAGGGGAACCTGGAGGATGGGACCTCGTCGGAGTTCCGCGAGTCCTGGTTTCCCGAGTTTGCGAAGACAACAGCTGCGCGTCCCCTGAAATATTAAGGAGACCCCAGAGAGAGGTGGCCTCCTCGGACAACCCTTCCGCCGAGGGGTGTAATCGATGAAATAGAACCGTAATGTTCACCTTTGCGATCCGGATATAGAATCGAGCAAAGACCCCGGGTGTCGTTCCGAGTGCGGATCGGACGTCAATTAGGTCGAATTATGTGCACGAACCGACGTCAGCTCTATCGATCTTAGACGAGACATTGTGCCACGGAGAAAGTCGTAAGACGCTCTTTTTTGTAAATATTAAAAAGCATTCGATCAAGGATATTTTCCTCGGCGGCGAAAGTTCACTTGATTTGAACCTGCGATGCGACGCGTCCAGATAAAATGAAGGAAATTAATTTCTCAGGGATAACTAGACTTGATTTTGCGTCGTAAGAGTAAATCGAGGTGTCTTAGATTTAAGTCGATCGAAAGGATCAACTCCCAAGGATCTACGGGAATCTCGATTCGATAAATCACACTTCGAGGACGTGCGGAATTGCGTCTGCGGATTAAGATCGCGTGTATTAAGCCGGATTGCGGATCGCCTTAAAATTCCAGACTCGCGAGTCGCACCTTGATCTCCTTTCCAGGGGCCATTAATTATCGAGCTCGTAATCCCAGGAAGGTCCGGTAATTCTACCTCCTAGCCGGCCGATCGACCAGTCGAAAAAGAGATGAAACCGAATCGGTGGGAACGAAGGAACGCTGATTCGTCGCATTATTGACCGCATCGTTGAATTTTGGAGCACTCCAACCGAGATTCATGCAGATCACGGACGGGCTTTGGGTGTTTTAAAGTTCTCACAGAATCGAATCCGATTTGCACAACCCCCGAGGCTCTCTACGGGTTTCCTCGTGTAAACCCACGCTGCCGTGGTTGTATCTGATTTCACGGTGTAAACGGGTCAGCAGAGATCGACCGTCGAAATCTCACACGTTCTCGCGGGGATCCCTTTCGGCGAGGACGAGATCCATTCGCCGGGACATCGGATATAGGCGAACGAAAGCTCATCCCAAGATCACATGAGCTCGACGACACGTAATCTCGTGGATCGCGCACTTACCGTACTTTTTCATGATCAGGAAGAGTGTCCAAATTAAGTCCGTCCAGACAAAGGGAGAGCCCACCGAGACCGTTCCGTCAATCGGAGAAACGACTGCAGTCGGTTGGCAAAAAGTTCATCCCAGGCAGACTGCCTCGACGGTGACATTAGTCTTGTGGTGTCGGTCAAAGGAGGGAAACAAGGAGGCGGACAAAAACGCCCGACATTGACGAAGAAAGTCCGTGACTGCGGCTAAGACCCGTTCCATCGCCAGTGAGGGAGCGAAATCGTTCTCGGATTTTTCTAGAGAGACGAAAACCGTCAACGTAGTTATACTCGAATTTCACGGTGTTAACGTTAAGCCTCCGACGAGAATTTAATCGTTCGCCGATTTTTTTTTAAGAGCGCTACGTTGGTGTTTCTAAATGTACACGTAGAACGGGGAATGGATTCGGCTGTAAAAAATAAGATTCTTCTCGAGCGAGACTCCGGCATTAAACATTGAAGACTCATCCGGGAGCATAATGCCTCCACCCGATTCCAGTATTTGTCGTTCATAAAACCCAGGGGTAGGAAGATTTGAAGAGCCACCCCCCAAGTAAGTTTCCACCCCCGTGAAAGAGAGCGCAACCTCCTGGAGCAGCATCGACATCGGGGGATGAAGGAGCGTGTAGGCAACCAAGTGCGCAGTATATATATAGATATATATAAAGCGGAGCGCGACCGGCGGCGCGCTCAGTCGTGTCCCGCGCGTCGAGCCGCGAGGATCGTGCACCGCCTGGCCCAGGGGTTTCTGCGATTTTTTTCGTCCCGCCGTACCGCACCATCCCTTTCCCCGGAGTCCCACCCCTGTCTTGTAAGCCCCCACCCGTAGTCTGTATTGAGTAATAAATGATTCATCGGGAAGCCACCCCGACCTCTGCGCCTCCCAGTGGCTCGTTTTGACGGTCTTATTTTTCTCCCCCTTTCTCTCCACTTTGATTTGATTTTCATTTTGAAAGTGCGACACGCCCGAGATGATCGATCGAGGCTGCCACCGCGATTTCGGAACACCGTGTGCACAGTAGTATAGTTGAAATGAGAGGAAGCGATGGAGCTGAAGATCGGCATTCTGCTCCTGGCGCTTCTAAGGATCGCCAACGCTTTCGAAAGTAAGACTTCGTGCGTTGCGGCGATCGGGGAGCTAGGAGGATCTGTGCCAAACAATTTACCGTGATCGACGCTAAGATCGATCTGTGACTCGTTCCGATTGGAGAGCTTCGTTAAATGCGGCAAATGCGATAGTTTGGTTATATCCTGCGGTGCAAAAAAAGTACGGCTATTTGTGGAACCAACCGAAGTAAAAGTTTTACGGCGCTCGTTTCCCGGTCTTAATTAAACCTTTTGGGGCACTTGGAAGTAGCGGCTGGTGAAAAAAAAAAAAACAAGTGAAAAATCGTTTCTCCGTAATTGAACTCGACCCCGAAGTCACGATGCAGGGGGTGATTTCGGTTTCGCGTTTGCGCTCACTTTCCGGGCTCAATTTAGCTTTCGGGGCTTACACTTGAGCTTCTGGTTAACCGCAAATGGGTTCGGCGTGAACGAACCTGGGACCGAGACGTGCGAACATATGGGGTAATAAAGTTGGCGCGAGTAAAATAACAGAAACAGGGGGGTCGGGGACACCCGACGTTTACACCAAGCCGGGATATGCGGGAGGAAAATTGGAAGGTGTATTTCGCTTCGACTTAACCCAGGATTTGCTCACACCTCGCGTTTCCGTCGTACATTTCGGAAACTCGCTTTTGAGTTTTTACATCGTTCTCAATTGAGAATTGCTCAGAAAAATCCCGGAATTAATTTCGCCTCCATCCGTATTACCGAAGGACCGGATGAGTCCGGTTAAATCTCAACACTCCGACGCAGCCTTAATTTTCGAGGCTTAATTTAGCTTTTGGGTCTCGACACCACCGCGGTTAACCGCGGGTGGGTTCAGCGCAAACGAACCTGCGGGTTCAGGACGTGCGAACATACGGGGCAATAAAGTTCAGGCATGAAGAAGAAGAACACCACGAGGACCCACGAGGTGCTCGGTCGGGCCTCTAAGTGAGCCGCACTGCTGACTGATACACCACGTAAACTCCCGTTGGAGTCGTTAAAGCCAGCTTTACGACTTCCATCGGGACCAGCGTCTAAATATACTCGCCCACGCCTCGTCACTACTTCCAAGTCCCAGAAAAATTCGGATCCCAGACTTCATCGATCCAGTCCGGAAACTAATGCCCCTCTATGGGTCCTAGACTATACCCGACGCGGAATTGACCAAACTATCGCCATAAGAAAGTATTTATCGAAAAGTGGAAATGTCGCGAAACGTTCCTCGCCACGAATCGCTCTGTTGGCAGACTCGAAGGAGGAGGACGATGCTGACGACAAGGACGACGAAAACTACCCCATCGAGGAGTATGAATACGACTATGGGAGCGCCACGATATCCAGCGATACCGACCTTATATCAGGCGGATCGTTACCGATTTTCCTGACAGAACCCGTGGACACGTTCGTCGTCAAGGGGAAACCAGCCACTCTTCACTGCCGCGCCGCCCACGCTCTTCAGGTGAGGACCCTGAAGAAATGGACAAGATATCTCGACTATCAGGGCTGCATTATCTCGAATCCTCGAGAAACTCGGGAATTGATCCTTTTCCGTCATCTTTTCGCCTTGTACAGGTGTACTTCCGGTGCAACGGAGATCGCATGGACGGGTCCCATCACCAGGAATTCGTCGATCCGAGGACCGGGACCAGAATCGTGGAGGCGGAGCTCAACGTCACCAGGAACATCGTCGAAGAGTACTTCGTGAAAGAGGGGTTCAAGTGCGAATGCGTAGCTTGGTCTGGTTCGGGACAAATTCGAGGACAGCCTGCCGCCGTCGAGGTCGCATGTAAGTCTTGATCGTCCTCCTCTTCGAATTTATTCCGAAATCTTTGGGACGCCCCGATTCGAGATTCGACGAAAGAACGAAAAATGATGGATGCGATTAATTTTCGGAGAGGAAAAAAAACGACAAAAAACACGCGAAAGCTCTCGGCTCGCATTTAATCGGCCGAATGTGGGGTCGGCAATTTTCATCAGGCGCCTCGATCGGACAGCAAACAAGGCGCGCAAACAGGGCGCAAAATTAAATCGGCATTCGGCTAGGGGGAGGCGCACTTTGGAAATGGAATACGTGAGATCGGCGGCCAGTTTTCGATTTTACTCGAGGAATAAAATCGATCGGCGAGGCCGCTTCCTGGGGAAGTAGAGGACAACTCGGTGCCGGGGGTCACTCGATATCGAGCAAATAAGCTTATTCAAAAGTAGGCTCGCCTTACTAATGCTGTTTGCCTTAAGCCCGGCATGCGATTCCGACCACTCTGCTGGATGCACTTTAGTGGACGCGCAAGATCGGAATACATTGTCTCGACATGACAATCCTTTTAATGCGCGCCCCCCCTGCTCACCGTCCGCGAATCTCCCCGGAAATGCTCGCAATGGCAGCGCCGAGTTATTAAAAAAAAATTCGCCTACACAGGGCAGTCGCATCAGCAGCAAACTTGCAGGCTCCAAATGTACCCTCGGGAAACGCGGGATCGCTGAAAGGATTTTCCCGAGATCTCGTTTCGCCCGATGCGCCCGACGAACGGGAAGTTCCAGGTGGCGACACCTGATGCGTTAAGGCCCCCCCTTAAGCATGGCGTGCAATTAAGCCGACCAGCTGAGGCAGATACGATCTCGCACGCGCAAGGTCGGAGTGCAGGTTAAATCGTTCGAATGCAGCGATTATAATTGCCGGAGCCCGACATGTGGATTCCTCGATGATCCTTTTTAATCCCCCGGTAGAAATCCGATCCCTCCGGGAGATAGCGATGCCTTGGGAATGTAGATGCAAATCTCGCGACACGAGGATGCATAATGCATCCTAACGCGCGGCAGCACTCGCGCGTTTTAGCATCGCCGTTTCCCTTAAGGCACGCGATTGGGGCCACTTTACCAGATGCACTCTAGTAAACGCAGGAACAAGACCGAAATACCTTGTCCCGACACGACAATCCTCTTAATGCCGACGTTACACTTGGTAATTTTGCCCAACTTCTCCGCCAGCTCGCGAGTAAGGCTCGCTCGAGGACTGCACATCTCCTGGAAGGAGCTGAACCTGGAATTTCAAATCGTCTTCATCGTCCAATTTCGCCCCCCGCCGCAGATCGCGACGTCTTCCTGGGATTAATTACCACCTTCCGATTATTCCTTTGATAATTTCCCTCCTGGGGTCCCCGAGAAGGGATCCCTAATGCCGGGGACGCGTATGCAAATCCCGGAACGAAAGAGTGCATCCCACTGCGCGTGTTCCCCGGCGACGCCGCGCGTCTCCTGCACCGTCCCTCCACTCCGGGCAGGGTCTTCTAAATTATGCATTCCCCGGAATGCCGGGTACATTGTCCCGAACATGACAATTCCTTCGATGCACTCGTTCGCATCGGGCCGTTTTTGCATACGGTAGCCTCGCATCAAAGGCCCCTCTCGAGATACTAATGTCTTACGGATGCGTATGCAAATGGCGCAACAAAAGGGCAGGCGCACCGCGGTACGTCTTGCTCGGTGCATCTTAATATCGGGTGCCCCGAGCGAGAAGGGCGTCGCTGCAGCCACCGAGGCCGCCAGACAAGCCGGGGTCCGAGTCATGACGGGTAATTGCTACTGTTTGCTTTGGGAGCACCGCGTAATTACGGCCACTCCGGGCCGATGCCCGCCACTTGCCCCGCGGAATCCGCAAAGGATCCAACATTGGCCGAGTTGTTCCGACCTGGCAATTATTCTAATGCGCTCGTCCTGTCGGCCGGTCCTCGGTGCCGCTTCGAGGGGGGGCTCTTCAAAGTCGGTTCGCATACGAGAGCCGTGGAAAATCGGAAATCGAGAAATCGAGATATCGAGCCCCACCGATGGGGCGTCTCCCCGGCTCTCGATTCCGCCGTTCCGCGGTTGCGAAGCTCATTACCCTCGAGGGGCACTAAATGTCGCGTGTACCTGCCGATCCTCAAAAACGCAATTTCGCGCACTCGCTCGTCACGGGATATGGAGGCCCAAATTCGAAACCGCGGAGGGCACGGCTGCACCGTGCCGCTCTTTATGCACGATATTACAGCTTTATTTACGCGGCCCGGCCGGTAAATAATGACGTTGGGTGCGCGCCGGCCATTGGTTCTCGCGCCAGTGCCCACTTTTTTCCCTCCCGCGGTTTTTCCCCTCCTCTTGCCCCGCTTCCGCGGGACCGTATGAAAGGCGCCTTCCCATTTATAGGTATATCCTGGCCCTAATATCGCTGAGTGCTCGCCCACGGCGAATCTCCTCCCATTGCTCCGTGTTCGCAGGAATATTAAAAAACCGGCCGATCGGAACCGGTGTTAGGAATCTTGCGCTCCATTTGGGGGAGGGCAGACCACCAAGGGGTGGACGGCCCCGGGTTTTCATATTTTACAACCGAATGGGCCTCCTTACTGCGGGAAATCTAGCAATTAACGTAATGCGGGGACGGATTCGGGGCAGTTTTTGGGGGCGAGATGGTGGTCGATATCCTCGGGGAACGACGCAACGGGGTTTTCAGTTCCTTTGGGGGACTTTGCTTGGTTATCGGCTGCCGACCTTTTTCCGCAGACTTGAAGAAGCACTTTATATCGCCGCCGTATTCCGTCGCGGTCGAGGCAGGTCGTGGCACCGAATTGCAGTGCGTTCCTCCCTTGGGAGTACCGGCACCTCGTTTGTCGTGGCTAAGAAACGGCGCGCCGCTGGAACCGTCTACTGCACCGGAGAAAAATGCCGAGGAAGGCAGTCGCCTTCGGGTCTCGGCGGAAGGCCACCTTCTTCTAGAGCAGGCCGCCACCTGGCACCAGGGTAACTATACCTGTGTGGCAGAGAACATTGCGGCGAGAAGGAGCAGCGATCCTGCCCTACTTACCGTCTATGGTAAGACTCGAACTAAGTCGGTCTGTACGCTGAGGAAAAAAATTTCATTGAACCGGAGGAACTTTTCTTTGAAGGGTACCACAGAAATATTCGAGTCGAATAGCTATTCTTTGAATTAAAATAGTTTTTTTTTTTTAGTTTTGGTACCGTGCAAAGAAATGTTTCCTTGGTTCTGAGAATCTTTTTCTCAGGGTAGTCGCAGAAGGAGGCACTCGAACTCCTAAATCGTGTGCTCGGTCAGCCGAAGTTAGGACTCTCTCGTTTCTCGATCCCTCAGTCAACGGTGGCTGGTCTTCCTGGTCAGGGTGGTCCGAATGCTCCGTCCGATGTGGACGGGGACTCCAAAAGAGGACCAGGACTTGCTCCAACCCGACTCCCGTTAATGGCGGCCAGACTTGTCCTGGATCACCTGTCCAGCGAACGGAATGCGACATTTCATGCCCCGGTAGGTAGCTTTCGATCCCCCGGATGGACGCTTCAATCTCCAGTGGGTACTCTTCCGATGAACGCGAAGATCCACGACAAGAAACCGATTGCTCCTCCCGTTGTTATTTATCGGGGCCGTCGAATCAGCCGAATGGTAAAAAACCCTCTCATCCGGTCGGAGAGCTGCCCAGTCATCGCCCGCGCATTTCGCACGACATTCGCGTTCATTGGGGGGATATTTACTGCGAACGCGGTTGGCGGCTGTGTGGCCGTCTTCAGGGTTCACCGGGACTCACTTTCACGCTGCAGCTGTTGATGGGAGGTGGTCTTCCTGGTCACCTTGGTCGGCTTGTGGTCCGAACTGCTCGAGAACCAGAAGACGGTTCTGCAATGACCCTCCACCCAGCAATGGTGGCAGGTCTTGTCAAGGGAAAGACTTTGTCATCGAGTCCTGCACGGCCGATCGTTGCGGAGGTAGGATACTTTGATCACTTCATGGGAGTTTCGCGTCTTCTATAAAGGCTCAGGGTATTTAAATGAGGTCTCGTCCACAGCTCTTGGTCATGGAGGTCCTAGGATCTTCAAGGAAGGTCGGTCGCGAAATTAGTAGATCTTGTCAGAATTCGGTGTGAATTCATTAGGCAGGGTCAAAACGGTGTCGAATGTTTTAGCAACGACGGCAGTCGATAGGAAGACGTCGTTGATCCTCTGGGTATCGCTGAGCTTGGCCATGTTGGTGATCTCCCTCACGGCCATCTTCTTGGTCAGGATGGTGAGGCGGAAGGAGAGGATGGATACTCTCTATGGGGTGGCCAAGCTGGACTTCCGGTCCGAACTCTTTGGGAATCGCGCCCAAAAACCGGTGATCACCAGGACGGAGAGGTCCACCTTGACGAACGACTTCGATGCCGAGGATCGGGTCTTCGGGATGTCGAGGTATAGAGTTCCTGCTTACCTGTCCGGTGTGCGGGATTTTTCATTGATCCGTGTTGGATTAGATCCTGCTCGGAGCATCATTACGACGTGCCACAGTTGTCCGTACCTTCGACCAAGTCATCGTCCAGCTCCTCGAGGAGCCATTCCCCGAGGACGTCGATTCATCGACAGACGACCTCCGAGAGCGAAGACGGCTCTGCCAGTAAGTCCGATGAGCTGAGAGAATTTGCAATTTCTATTCCCCCTAAAAATCGTTCGTGACTTCCTTTGAGCAATTTTTTCTCTCCTGAATTATCTGCAGATTCTCCCTGCAACCCCGAACGGGAAGAGGACCACGAAGAGGATTCAAGATCAGGGGTCGAGAGCGAACTGCATCTAACTCGGGACGTTGAAGGGAGTTTCATAGTTAGGGCCCTGGTGTCCGATCAGGGAGCACTTCTGGTGGTCCCAGAGGCGGGAGTTTCGATATCGGTTCCCGAAGGATCGCTTTCCAGGGGACGGCGCGAGAACATGTACCTAGCCCTTCTAGGAGACGACTTCTTCCGACCGATCCTGCCGCCGAACGTGACCCTGCTCTCGGGAATCGTCAGTTGCGGTCCATCGGGAGTGAATCTAACCAAACCGGTGATTCTCCAGCTGGAGCACTGCGCCGAGCTGAGGACCAATAATTGGGAGCTGGCCCTTTGGTCGGCACCCATCGACCTGGATGGCTCCACCAGGTCCTACCAATGGAGGAAGGTTCTGACTCTAGGCGGAGAGCCGACCAACCTCCCTGGGCAGCCTTTCGCTCAGCTGGACCATTCCGGGATCTTTCTGGTGACCGAAACTCTGGGAGGATATCTGATAGCCGGGGAGAGTTCCACCGTGGCGCCTGGGATCGCGATGAAGAGACTCAAGCTCGTCGTCTACGCGTCCAGGGACAGGGACTACGTCAGGTGTTACGTCCTGGAGGACACCAGAGCCTCCTTCAAAGTGATCGAGGAACAGGAACGCCGGGTCAGAGGCATCCTGATCGATCGCCGCAGCTTCGGATTCCAGGCCAGCGGAGCTCCCCTCAGTCTCTATCTGGAGGACCTGGAGAGTGGGTTCGCGGACAGACAGGAAGTCCCCTACAGGCGAGTCTGGTCCACCTCCAGGACCAGCCTGCACAGGACGTTCAAGATCGAGAGGATCGCCGGAGACGTCCGTCTGGTGTTCGAGCTGAGGGCCAGCCAACGGGGATTCGAGGATCACGGGGTCCTTCTCAGGATCGATCTCGACGTTGCCGATCGAGGGAGCAAGAGGAGGAGTGGCAAGATAGAGACCACAGTCGTCAGCCGCACTGCCAGATCCACGGAGTCCATCGTTCCTAGGACATTCAGGTGAGGACCCCCATCACCTCTTAAACCCGGAGAAAAAAAAAATCTTATTGGACCAGAAAAATATTTCCGATAATTATTCCCACTGAATTGACACAATATGTGTGTGGTACCATTCGGGGAAATATTTCTTTGGTTCAATGAATTCTTCTCGGTGCACCGATGAGGGAGCTATTGATTTTATCGCAAGGCCTTGAGTTTCATCGGTGAGTCCGATTGCGTAGATTCTCCAAGAGCCTCAGGAAGCAACTGTGCCAATGCCTGGACCCTCCCAGCGCCCGCGGGAACGATTGGCGAATGCTGGCGCAGAGACTGCAGGTCGATCGGTACGTTATCACGTCGTGGGGGCTGCATTTCATCGGGTATCCTCCCCTGGTAATTTTCTATGGCGAGTTCGCTGGATGTTTCAGCTACGTGGAGTACTTCGCCACGAAGGCTAGTCCCACCGAGCACATCCTGGACCTCTGGGAGGCCAGGCACAGGGAGGCGACTGCCCTGGCGGATCTGCTCAACCATTTGAGACTGATGGGACGTGTCGATGCCGCCAGCATCCTCGAGAACCGTTTCGGACCCTGGCTCTAACTGCCCCGATGTCGTTCCCTATCGATGTAAATGTAAATACCAAGTCACCAAAAGTGTAATCGACAAGTTTTGTAGCACTCGTTGGAGGACCCTGTCCTCAAGACCGTGTACATAAAGCCCGTTTATAGGAAAACGATTGCAACTTCCTTGTAGCTTGCTTCCCCCCGTGCCATGCTCAGAAACAGACCTATACTCCTTCATTGAGAAAAACTTCCTTTGACTAATACTCATTTAGATCAAATAACAAGGTTTTAGTAGAAAGAACGATGCAATGCATCGCAATTGAACATTCGGTATTTTTGAGGGAAGACTAGGTTTCTTTGATTTCATGCCGGTTCCTTTAACTCCGTTGGAACTTTTTTTGGAGGAAGAGAAGAAAAATTGTTTCCTCGAGGTTCTTCTATCCAGAATTGGGTTAGAAAAGTGTAGGGTGGAAAATGTCTGCAGACCCACTTTTCCATGGCAGGGTGGTCCAGCACCGGCCACCTTGGCTATACAAGATGGCCGCGGGATTGGCGGGTAACTCTGCGGGAATTCCCCAGTCTGTCAAGAGATGCTCCCCACCGGGGTCCACAGAGGGATGCTGGGTAGCGTTTAATCACAGGAGTCCGTTCGTGGTAATTCCGGAGGACAATGCCTGTTGACTCGCGTTCTGGCGGAGCGGAGGGCTAGCGGGGCGGGTGGACGTGCGGAGTGCTTTTAGCGTTACTACCAGGACCCGCTTGGAACCGAATCAAAACGTTTCGGTCCAGTCGAAACAATTCCCAAAAACAACGGGGGCTGAGTGCATCGCTCGACGGAGTGCCCGCCGCTTTAACGGCCGTTTCGGGGGGAAAAAAAAGAGCCCTTCCAAAATAATCGAAATCATCCCAATGCAGGCCGGAAATCCAGCCGAACAGCGCGCATCGACCGCCGCTGCGTTTTCCCTTCCGCATTCGAGACATATCGGTAGCGAGTACTAATCCGCGGTGTCGGCTGCTGTTCCGAATCGATGTTTCGGAACGACGATGGAACGAATTTCCCCGCAGAATGGGATTAATCAGCGCGAAATGTCGATACCCGTTGATGACGGCTCCAATTTGGGCACGTCCCGTCGGGCGCGATGTGCGCGCGGCGCACGCGTTTCTTGGATTATATATTCCAGCCGAGCCTTTCTCTTGGGTTTCATTAGCCTCTGCTGGTGGCCTTTGTCATGTAAACGGCCAACGAGGGAGTAAAACCGAAAAACGAAGGACGAAAAGGGGTGCGCTCGGGGAAGCGTGTCGCGGTCGTTTGGCACCCCTTTCGCGTTTCATCTCTCATTGTTGGGAGTCCGGCAGGGGCGCGATACACAAATCGCGGCCCCGACGCCGTATTAATTTCCAGACCAATCGCGATTGGGATCTACAGGCAATTACGGGGAGATCGACCAATCGGATTGCGGGGGGGGGGCGCTTTACTCGCGCGACCACCGGAAGCTAGCGCGGAGCTCTACGAGCCGCACTCACGCGAGTGCGAGGAGGACGTTTCCGCTGACAAATCGGCATTTCGCCGCACGTGCTCAGATCTGGCGAAACGTCCCCGAGGTAATTAAATGAAGGATGGAATTATCTTTCGGATTTTCCTCATTTTTCTCATTTTTTTTTTCGGCCAGCCTCCCGGGCGTCTCGGTTTTGTTCCCCCGAGAGGCGCACCCTCGGAGAGGGTCGGCCTTCCCTCCGTTAGGACGGCGCGGAAATTCCGCACCGCTCGCCGCATTCCGCCGGTGAAAAGTTCCCGGGTGCCCCGTCGTCTCCGATTCCGGCCGGCCGGGACAAAGCGTCGGTCTCGGGCGCCGCGACGCCCGCGGAAAATTCCGCGGACTTTTACACCCGCGGCCGCCGAAGAGAGAAAACAAACGGCACATAGTTCGGGGAACAATTTCACCCTGGAATTCCACGGCCGTGGAGGCCAGTAAATTTCGCACGAATTCCCGCGTGTGGGAGCTGCCCGCACGGCGTGGCATCGCGAACACCGGCTACGACCACGGCCTGATCGTATAAGTACCCTAGGGCCTAGATAGTGCTCTCTCCCGAAACCTGGAGACAACTGGAAAGTTACGATAAGGAGTGAATTAAAATACAACACTTCGCAAGGACGGTTCCCCGAGAAAGAAATGCTAATTCTGGATTCCTAATGCCGACGGTTTTACAATCACCTTTGTAGGACATCGACTTCTGCGTCACCTTGTATGCACGTCCAGGACTATTACGGACGAGTACGTAGGCACGCGTTGCCCTCGAATAAAGCCGCGCGCCTCGGCGACCGTCGTTGCGATGTGGACTAGCCTTTTCGTGGGCGGCTTACCTCGTCGACTTCCGGCTCTTGCAGGAGATTTACACCGACGCGACGGAACTTACGACGAATTCCTGGCACGTGCGAACGCGCCCCAATACGGATTTCGAACGCGCGGAAACTCGCCTCGGGATTTCGCATTTTTAGCCTCGCCCTAAAGGCGAAACTACCTTTTGCCACGAGAGCAGCTACTGTCTGAAATTTCTGGAAGGAATAGTTGGAACCGCCAGGGCTGATAAGACGATGATTCGCTTTTTTACCCTCGCCCAAAAGGCGAAACTACCTTTTGCCACGAGAGCAGCTACTGTCCGAAATTTGTGGAAGGAATAGTTGGAACCGCCAGGGTTGACAAGACGATGATTCGCATAGGGACAGCCGAGCACCTCGGGCGCCGCCATTGTCGTCGCTTTTGCTAAAACCCTCTCGTTACCCGAGGCTCTTAGCGCGGCCAGTCATTTGTAAACCGGCCGTAAATCGGGCCGCGGCCGATCGTTCGAACCCGCAATGACGTACGATCGACGGCCGCCATAACTTAGAGGAGAATCAAAAGGCGATTACCCACGTTAGATCTGCCGGCGGCCGATCGACCTCCGGCCCCTGGCCCCGTCGATTCTTGATCGCGCGATGCATCGCATTAACAAATTGCCCGTGTACCTCTCACCTCCCCTCGTAAATCTACTCGGCGAGCCGTTCCTCTCGACGAATACGGAGATCGATACGGAACGAGGCGGGTTTCTTGAAAACAATCGCCGCAAAACGAGTCTAAGTGGATCGGAACTGGAAGTGGACTCGCAGAGGTTAGGTTATAACCACGGCTACAGCTGATCGGATCCGTTTAAAATGAATTCATTTTTTTTTTATATTCAGACATGACAAGGTATCACCACGTCTATAAAAATTAATGCATCCGTTTCAGGTGGATTTGGTCAGGTCCACCCTAATAAGATCCGAACGGAAGTGATTCGTCGCGTAGCCGCAGCCTATCCGAAGAAGCCGGAGACCAACATCCGGGGGACCAAAATGGCGGACCTAAGACGCCAAATCTCTTGTTCTCCACAAGGGTCATCGATGCGGAGCAAAATCTCGATGTCGGGTGGATGTTTCCTCGAGTTTCTCACGGCGGACCGTTAAGGCGCTCCTCTCGTAAACGGCCGCGACAAGATACGGGGATGCGGAAAGCGAGAAAGCGCGAAAAGAGAAATGGCGAGGAATCTCGATCGCGAACTCGGGAATTCCCGTCGAAGGGGCCGACAGAGACAAACCGCCCGGCGGGGGAAAAGCCTTGCCGCTATTAATTTCGCGACCCTGAAGAATCGGCCGTCACTCCGCGGGGAAAGCGAAAACCTCGCGGCGGGCTTAAGTGCACGCGGGAAGCCGATCGATTCGCAAAACAAAGCCATTCGTAAGCATCCCCGGCTAAGTCTCGACGGACGTCGGACGGATCCATCACGGCCGCCTCGGCCGTCGCTCCAACGGCCCTTCCGTCTCTCCGACGACGTCGTTAACGCCACGGCGCGCGGATTGCCTAATCGCCGCCACTTTTCCGGCCTTTGTCGCGGCCGGAAAACACGGGTCGAGCATTCAGCCGAGCCGCGACATTAACGCCACCCCAAACGACTGCATGTGCGCACTCGTTATCATTTATAAGAATCCCTTAAAACCGCGCGAAAGTGGCGTGGAAGACCCACGACACTTTATCTCCGGACGGAGGGCATCGAATCGTTCGAAACTTTAGGTTTCTTCGTTCTGCCAACACTTTCTACCCATCTACGAAAAGTGTACACTTTGGCGTTACCTTCTGCTTTCTTGAGCTTTCCGGCGTTCGGGATGTCGGCGAAAGTGTATCTACCCTTCTGCACCTTTCAAGAAAAGTGTGGGACACTCTTCACCCTCGAGGGTGGAAAGGGCAGACGACGCGAACAAACCTCTCACCACGTGATTACTTAGGCTTTACAGAAAGTCTCGACACTCGTGAAACTTCATTATTCCGCGGAAAATTGAACAAACGTTTATAAAGAAATTTAAAGAATGAAATTTCGCGAGGGCTTATATACTCATGCGGTACAGTCTCAAACCATTCCGTGCACTCGGTCTCAGTGTGACCGGTTTCCTTAAGGCCTCGATTGATAACAAGTTCTTATCAACCGAGTTTCGCCGGAGTCACGGCAGAAGTCGCACCCGCTGTCGGCGGCGTTAGGTCGCGTCGCATTTTCGCATAGATCTTTCTCTCTCACTTCCCGTTCCGGTCCCGCGTCCGCGTAACGATATCGTTACCGTCACCGTGGCCGAGGTCGCGGTCGTTATTACCGGGACGACGCGACGGAGGTAAAGGCGCGTCCACCCCCGCCTCGTGTAGGACGGCGTGACGCATGGACGCGTTTTCATGAAAGGACCGAGCCAGGAGGGGGCGCGCGATAACGCTCTTGTTCCTTCGAAAGCGGACACGTCCCGGCGCGTGTATCGAGGACCGGATTCGAGATACGAGATCGGCGGCGCCGATCTTGTACCGAGATAGCACACGACCCGTTCCGACCTCCTAGGGGGGCCGAAACTCCCGAAACCTCGCTGCGAGACGCGCCACTCCAAGATGGCGGCGCCCCTTTCCTCCACCCTGGCCCACGCTTCCGAGGGTTCCGTTGGATCTCTCGACGAGGCTTTCGGAACCCGGTCGATTTGTATGCTCGCGGGGCAAAACGGCGGGATTAATTTCCGATTCCTCCCCGGTGTCCGCGCCCAACGGAGCCGAGCGACGCGAAAAAGGAAAAGGGCATCCGGGAC